GAATCCTCAACACAGTTTGTCCATGTATATACTTGTAATCCTCGCATTACCGGGTGGAGACAGGTAGCTCCTGGGAGCCTGATGGCCAGCCATGCCAGCCTAGTCAAAACTTTCAGCTTCCAATTCAGTGAAAGACCCTGAATCAGGCAAAAAGGCAGAAGGTGATAGAGGATAACACCTAACATCCTCCTCTGGTCTTTGCATGTACGTGCAGAGGCACACTGGCACAGACACATGCATGCTCCATACACACACAACACATCAAAAGGATAAGTCACTGGCTATCTGAATAGCTTCACAAACAGAACTGTTGGCTGGGTGTGGTGGCACACTCCTTTAATCCCAGCACTCAGGAGGCAGAGTCAAGTGGATCTCTGTGAGTTCAAGGCCAGCCTGGTCTCCATAATGTCTTCTAAGACAGCAGAGCTACGTAATAGAAGGACTCTTTCTCAACAGGAAAAAAAAGGCGTTGTTATTAGATGGCTTGGGTACTTGTTTAGAATTATCTTCATAAAAATAAGCTTATAGGTTAATGGGGGGAAATGCAACATGAACCAAAACAAGGTAGAACAGACATTAATTACTTTCCTAGATTTGTCCTTGGGATTTCTTGTCTCACAGTATTCCCTATAATAACCCAAAAGGGAAACCACTTACTATTTAAATTTTTGCCTTTCTTTTATTACCAACTTGCTAAGAAAAAAATTAATCCAAAAACTGGAAAATAGGGCAAAGCTGTTAGCACCAACCTTTTCACATCACCACACTGCAGCATGAGCCAACACGTCTTCCTAAGGGCTATCTAACTCATTCCCATACTCTGAGCAGCAGGAAGGAACTGCTCCATTTGCTTTCTACGGATCTTCAAGGTGACCAGTGGATTATATCATCCTGAGTGGCTGGAAGAAATCAGAAGGAAAAAAGGATTTTGTCATGTGTGAAACTTAAGTGTTAGTGTCCACACATGCACCCACATGAGGACACAGCCACGGTCATTCCTTCAGTTACTGCCTGTGCCTTTGAGTTCCACAGGCTGCTCGATTTTTGCCCCTTAAAACAGGTAAGGTTTGCCCATCCCTTTCCCAAGGGATAAAACTTGCTTGATTGTCTCTTATTGGTATGAGTTCAGCAATTATGGTTATTAGGTGTTACCTTGCAGATTGTTGACATCACAGGCTGGTGAGATAGTTCAGTGGGCAAGGGAGTGTGACATGAAAGCCTAGTGACCTGAGTTCAGTCCAAGGAACCCCATACAAGCAGGAGAGGAATGCCTTCTTCAAATTGTTCCCTGATCTACACACACACACACACACACACACACACACACACACACACACACACTAACAAATAATAAATAAAAATTGGTGTCCCACTTTTCCTCAGTGACAGATGTGAATGGTATTTGTTGAAAGGAAAGGATTCCACAGGATATTGATTTATTGCCTTGTAAAAAATATGAACCTAATTTTGTATTTCACTCTTTATTTTAGCATTTTTTTCAGCTCATTATTTCATTTTTTTATAAGCATTTTTTCAGCTTATTATATTTCCTTCCTTCTGATTATTTTTATCATTCAAGCATATTTCTTAAAAGGCTGGAGTGGGTTTGTTAGAATATTGTGGTTTGGTTTCTCTTTTTTTCCTTTTTTTTTTTTGAGAGTCTTACTATGTAGCCCTGGCTGGCCTGGAACTCACTCTGTAGACCAGGCTGGCCTTAAACTCAGAGATCTGCCTGCCACTGCCTCCCAAATGCTGGGATTAAAGGCATGCACCACCATGATTGGCTCAGAATATTGTTTCTAACTTCTAAAAATTCAGTTTGACATGGTCTTCTAGAATCGATTATTTGACCTAACAAGGTAGCACAGTGGATAGAGGCCCTTGTGTGCAGAACTGATGACCAGGGTTGGATCCCAGTTCCCACAGGTGTGGAGAAAACCATGCCTCATGACTCCTGCGAGTTGTCCTCTGACTTCCACAGGCACAGCCAGAACTTGCAAGAGCCCACAATCACAAATGTATGTGCGCACGCCTTTTTAAAGTAAAATAAATTGTTTTATTTGGTAAAATCCTATGGTTGCCATCGGAATGCCAACACCACTGTTGCCCCTTTTCTGTTATGTACACCGAGGGAAGCTGCGAGTCCCCTTGGTGGGTAGACTGACTTTTCTTGGACCACACATCCCCACACACAGCGAACAAACAGCACTAGACAGCTTGTAAGGGGGTGCCTCATTTCTCAGAACAGTAGAGAATGAATGGTTTCAGTTTTGTCTAGAAGTACACATGTCTTCCCTGAGATGTAAGCTCTGTCACTGAGAAAACCTGAGCAGACTAGGAACGAGTCCATCGTCTTCACAGACGTGCCCTGCTCACGACAAAGGGAGAGCCTGAAGGGCAGTCTAGTCCACCTCAAGCTTCTCCTCTGTCTAGGGATCTTTTATGTTTATAGGATCCAACTTGTCTACGTAGAGCCTAGACCTGCTGCACAAATTTGTTAAGATCCCTGCTTGTCTACGGGCCATAAAGCTCACTGCATCCTTCATGCTCTGCAATGAGTCCACACTGAGTGGCTGCTTTCAATGGCCCAATAGATCCACCAGCAGGGATGGAAAACTACTTTCATCCATCAGCTATTCTCAAGCTCCCGACTTCTTTTCTATTTCTGAAGTAAGTTAATTTATTTATTGTGTGTGTGTGTGTGTGTGTGTGTGTGTGTGTGTGTGTGTGTGTGTGTGTGTATACATGCCTTCAAGCATGCACGAGGAGGTCAGAGAACAGTCTGTAGGATTTGATTCTCTCCTCCCACCCTGTGGGTTCTGATATCAAACTCAGGCCATCAGGCTTGGCAGCAAGCTCCTTTATCCACTGAGCCATCTCACCACCCCATCCTGACCCAATCTTTCGTATTCCTTTTTCCATTATGTTTTAGTTTTTAGTTTCCGAGACAGTGCCCCACTATGCTCCATTGGCCACTATGTGGCCTCAAACTTACAATCCTCCTGCCTCTGAATGCTAGAATCACAGACCAGCACCACAACACCCAGCTTCCATTGTATCTTATAGATAACCTAAAGTAGGATGGATGATTGTAACAGAAAAAAAAAGAAAGAAAGAAAGAGAAAAAAAAAGCTTTATATTTTGAGAAAACTTAGACCCAGAGCAAATAGTGATAAAAAGTGAGTCTATACAGCTTCCGGGAGCGTCCATGCTCACAGCAAATGGAAATGCTGTGAATGGAACTGCACCGGTGTTACCTTGATGACACAAACACCAGCTCTCGCCTCAAAGGAGGTATGAGAATTTATTTTGGATCCAAGCATGAGTGGCCATGGCAGGGAACCAGATTAGGTTTAACCCATATATCGTATTCCAGGACAGTGACAGTTTCGCTAAGGTTTCCTAGGGGCAGAACAAAGAAAATCATAAAGGAAGACACTGAATGTATTTGTGAAAACATCACATAGGTGATCTGCAAAGCAGGGAAGTCTGAATATGCTAGTTGATGATTCTCAGCTTTGGGGATTGGTGGGACTAGCTTTGTACATTCCAAAAAAGATGGACCCCACATAGGCACAGGGTGTTAAGGCACACAGAAAGTTAGGCAATAAATATTACTTCAGTGGATCAAGACAGCCCAAAATAATTTGGCTCTGAGCCTGCAACTTTCCAGCTCTCCACAGTCACCCAAGTTCCGATTAGTCAATCAGCCTTGTAGAATGTTATGTAGGCGGTACTTTTTCTCTGGAACTTCAGTGAACACTGGTGAAAGGAAGAAGACAGTATTTCCTTCCTTGACTCCCATCCCCACCACAGAGTAATTTGTAATATTTCTACATCTCAGGAATCACCCTTAAGAGAGCTGTCAGATGAACTGCTAAATGGTCTTATTAATAAAAAAAAAAACAAAACAAAAAACAAAACAAAAAAATGGAGCCAGATATTGGGGTTAAAACTGAGAGATAGCCGGGCGGTGGTGGCGCACGCCTTTAATCCCAGCACTCGGGAGGCAGAGCCAGGCGGATCTCTGTGAGTTCGAGGCCAGCCTGGTCTCCAAAGCGAGTTCCAGGAAAGGCGCAAAGCTACACAGAGAAACCCTGTCTCGAAAAACCAAAAAAAAAAAAAAAAAACTGAGAGATCAGGGGAATAGGACAAGCCACAGCCAACCTCACCTTACTGACTCCTCAGCCTCCAGAGACCTACTTCCTGTATACCCACACTATATGCCTTTCTGTTCTGCCATCTCACTTCCTCTCAGCCCAGATTCATCACGCAGGGTTGGAGAGATAGTTCAGGGGTTAAGAGTACCTACTGCTCTTGCAGAGGTAAATTCGGTTTCTACTACCTATGTCAGGTGGTCCAGTCACCTATAACTCTAGCTACAAGCTGGATTCTGCAGACATACACGTGCGCTGACACACACACACACTTAAATAATGAAATTAAGCTTTAAAAAAATGACAGCTGCCTCTCAGCACTTTGTTTAGGACAGTTTATTCCATCAAAGGCTATGGTGAATTATCCTAGTGGGAAAGGGATGGGGCCTCTGAGAATGAGTGAGTATCCAGGGGAAAAGGTCCCTGAGGATCAGAGTGGGTCCTGCTAGTATTGCATCATGGAGACCCAGGTTCTGATTCTGAATCCTGCTGTATTGTATGCTGCCCTGGCATAGGAAGATTTGTTTTGATTTTCTGTTTGTTATATTGGGCTGAGGATTGAAGCTAGGACTTCCTTGGATGCTAGATAAACACTCTAGTACTGGGCTAAGTACCAAGCCCTCTTTTTACTTTTTGAGATAGGCTCTCAATATAGCTTAGGATGGCCTTGAACTTACTCTGTAGCCAACCCAGACCTTGAATTTGCCATACTCCTGCTCCGACCTCATGAGTGACTGGGATTACAAATCTGCACCACTAGGCATTGTAGGAAGTATTAAAAATGCCCCTTCCCTAGTAGTACCATGTTGGGTGTTGGGCAGAGTCCTGTCTCCTTAAAAGCTTCCCGCCAAACAGAAGATGAATAAACCAGTTTGTATATCAGAGCGCGGGGGGCGGGAATCTCAGCTAGCACCCTTCAGCCTCCCTTCGCCCACCCAAAAGCCCGGCTGGAATGCGGCAGGGCCTGATGTTACAGCCCAGGCCACCGAGGCAACCAATTCGGTGCAGAGCTGGAAGTATTGCACCACCTCACTAAGTTCTTATGAAAGAGTTAAAAGACAAAGTGCCAAGCACGTCCTCAGTGGTTTCATTTCTACCTTGACCATGGACCCGCCATCACGCGGTAAGATAAGAGAAGCACCGAGAACCCGAAAAGTCCGCAAAAGGGTCGGGAGGCGGGAACCTGATTTGAGGAGGAGGGTACCAGGAGAGCAGCCAATCCCGCGCTCCCGGGGAGGAAGAGGAGGAGCCAGGGCCCGCGGGCCCCCCACTGCTCACTCCCGCGCTGCGCCGGCTCCGCAGTCTCCTCCCGGTGCAGCGCTCCGGCTCGCGGAGGACTCCTCTGGTGCAGACATGGCCTCGGGCGCCGCTTGCGCCGCGGTGAAGGTGAGATCACCCCACAGGCTGCAGATGGGCCCGCCCTCTCGCCCCTCCGCAGCGGCCGCGCCTCGGGGCTATATCCCCAGCCCGGGCACCCCCATCCCCGGCACAGCGGAGAGGTGCAGGGGCGCGGCACTCGCCCCCAGCACACTCCCATGTCCCCAGCCTTTGGACTCATCTGTATCCCGGGCCCCACGGCGGTAGCAGGTGCTCTGGCGGGGGGCGATGGGTGAGCTGCTCCCCGCTGCCACCCTTCTTCAGTACCACTCCCCTCTGGAGATGCTCCAGGCGGGAGCTGACACGTGGCCCGGCTGCTGCGCTTGTCCCTCTAGCCTTGCGGGATTCGCGCTTCCGCTCTCTTGACTCGGCCCACGTGGGAGAGCTGTGCACTTGCTCTTTTGCATGCTTCTGGTCTCCCCCTTACCCTCCCCGCGCGCGCTCCCCAAACTTAAATTTCCCTTTGCTTTGTTTTATCCAGCTAGTGTAGAGCTGTGGTTGCTCTAAGACTTTTCTAAATACTGAAAAGGAGTGCAGACCTCGGGTTAGGGCCTCCCTGCCCGGAGGCCTCTGTTTAAACGGCTTTGTAACCTTGAAAGTTAGAGCTATTTTCTCGGGCCTCGGGTCCCCAGAGAGCTCGACACAAGGGATTCTTGTACGCAGGGAACCGCTGGCCAGAACAGAGCATGAGTTCTGAGAGTTGCTTGTGAGTCTCCCCTGGGTCTTTTAAACACATCCTGATTGAAGGGTGGAGAGTGAAAGAGGAATTGCAGAGAACAGGAAAACTGGTGGAAAAAGGCTAAGTCCTTTCTAGGCTGTTTATTATTAGCCAAGAATCAGTTAACTTCATTCACTTTAGGAATTTCTGGCCGCTGGCACAGGAAGTGCACCGTTTTCTCCACGGCATCTCGTTGGATTCCCCACAGCTCTGTTTGATTGCCTTGGAAGAGGCAAATCTCTGCAGTTAGTGTGCTGCCAACCTGGGCTTGTATGCTGGGGCCTTGCAGGGCTTCTCGAACCACTCAGGAGAGAGGAGAAGGATGCTGCGCTCAGACTTACCGCCCAACTTTTTTTTTTTTTTTTTTTTTTGCCATTTTGAAAAGGATTGTTTACATTTATAGAAAGCCTCCTGAAGTAGGGATTTTACTACAGTGTGGTCTAGGAAGGCTAGAATGAAGTCTGGATTGGGCATCTTTGAATTTTTAGGAGTGGAGATCATTATTTCCAAAGGTATCATAAAACGACAGCTTTATACCTTTCCCTTAACACCATAGTAGGTGTGGGCCAGATACAATCATTTTACCTTGACAGAAGAATCTGTACCTTGGCATGTAGAATCCAAGAAACCTCCCCGGGGTATAGATTTTTTTTTTCATCTCTGACCCACAATGTGAGTAAAACCAGCATAACTGGCTGGTACTTCTCACTCACTTAGCCCAATCAGGATAATACTATCCATGCAAGGACCAGCATATCTCAACAGAAAGAATTCGGTTTAATCTGGTTAATATTCTGCCTGACACACAGTTTCCTTGTAAAAATGAATGTGGTACACTTAAGAGCAGAAAGAGCTATGTAAATATTGAATGATATGTATTTTCTTTTATCTTGGCAAGCTTTTGAAATAAAACTTAGAGATATAAGTGGTGCTGGCAATGCCTGCTGACTGCTCTCCCTGAGACTGGGGCAGGTGGGAGCATTGCTAGTGAGAATTCGTGATGCCTCCACCATATTCCACAAACGGCTCAAGCAGTGTCTTATCTAGAAAATAGGAAGTACACACTGTTATGCCCAGATCTCGGGGACCCCCAAAAGACCACCATGGAGACTGAATCCTGCATGTAAAAGCAAAGAGCCTTTATTTCAAGCTCTGGAGCTTGGTCCCTCTGTCTGTCCAACACAGTGATGAGAGCAGAGAGCCCTGAGCTCAGGTGGGGCAGAGGTTGGGGTGAGGGGATTTCCAGGGTCCAGGAACCTGATTGGCTAACAATTATCTAGGGGTATCTGTAAAACAAAAAATAGGTGTGTGCTAGACTCAAGGGCATCTGACTACCTTATCGAATGGTTGGAATGTTTGGGATGTCAGGCACTAGTTCATCCCTGGGTGGATCCCTGGGTGGTATCAGCTTAAGGCTTTTTCTGGATCTGGGTGTTGCCTGCCAGTAAGCCTGTCACAGAAGCTGTGTCTAGGCCGCTATGCCTGTCATGGCTGCTGTGTGGTCAAGCTATTTTGGAGCCCCTTCACACCCACATCCAGAGCAAAATAACCTATTCAAAAAAGTATATTGTAAGGCTGGAGAGTGGCGTGGGTCAGTCTCTATCTAGAGTGCTTGCTACCAAGTGTGAGAATGTGATTTTGGACCCTCAGCGCCCATATGGGGGGGGGGGGGGGCAAGACTGGTTACAGAAGCCAGCATCTACAATCCGGGCACTAGAGAGGCAGGCATGGGTAGGTTCTTGGAGCTTGAAGACTGGCTGGTCTAGCCAAATTGATGAGCTCCCAATTCAGTGAGAATGCCTGCCTCACTGAAAGATAGATTGCTATTAACTGAGGGAGACACTTGATGTCAACCTCTGGCCTGTACACACACACACTTGAACATGTACACAACACCCTCGCAAACTACTTTCTCTGCATATCATCTGGTAATAGTGTTCTTACAGATGTGAAGCTGAGGCCCAGAAAGGTGAACTAAAGTGTCCCATATAGCAAACCCTGCCTTTTTCTGCTGATACAGCGGCTGCACCTGAATCTACTGCTGTTTCCGCCAGTAATTGTGACTCTGCAGTCACTGGCCGGCCCCAGAGATCCGCCTCCTGCTGCTGCCACCAAATGTAGTTTTTAACTAAATCTCTATCGTTCTATTTACCGATAATACTCGCCTCGGGAGTCGGAGGTGGGCTGAAAACGTGCTAGCTCAGAGAAGTTGAAGAGCAACTATCTGACCTTCCCGCTGAAAGCATGTCCTTCCTCTCCATCAAACCAAAAAATGGCCACACTCCAAGTCCCACCCTACTACTTCCTGTGCGTCTCTCTATCCTTCCAGACTCCCTCTGACTCTGATTACTTTCTGTCAACCAGTTGCTGGCTCCGCCTCCTGACCCAAGGTTGATTTTATTCAGTTAACACAAATGCAAACTCAGGGTTCTCAGTGTGATCGAATGTCCCGTGACAAAATCTAGATAATAACAGACCTAAAACCTGGCCTTCCCATTAAGTAGATGTGAGACATTTCTCAGACCTGACACGCGGTCTCTGCTTTACTGTCTGAGTGAAGAAGGCATCCTACCTTAGGACATAGGCTGGCCACCTCTGCCAAAACCACTGGGCATTTTCCAAGTGTGGGTGTAGGAGGCACATTTGTGTCTGGCCGGAAAGGTCTGCACCATTTCCTCTGGTACTGAGAAGCAACAGTTTGGTTAGGTACAGCAGTAGGACTATTCCCACATTGGTGTTGGGGTCCAAACTCCGGAGCTGGAGAGTCCTGACCTCCTATTGTAATGCCCCCACCTTTCTGTCAGCGGTGTGAGCTCAGGGCTAATCACACCTACTGGAGAGTTGTTAGATTTAAACACAATGACATGCTGCACACCCAGCTCGGTGCTTGTCCCATTAATGCCAGCCCTGGTACCGTCCTCTGTAAGGTGGAAATATCACCAGCGCTCGAGCTTCAAGTTGATACCCTAGGTTTAAGAGATGCAAATAGTGTTCAGATGAAAAGCCTCCGGTTTTGTATGGACAGAATGATGTTCGGCATCTCAATGAAACCTGGCTGTCTACTGGTAGAATCCTACCCAAAAGTACTTAGCTGAAAACGTGCCAAGCTCTGGGAATACATATAGGAGTGAAACAATGTCTCTGTTTATCTTGCATTGGGGCTGAAAGATTAATATGAGTGAACTAGTAAGAGTTATGGAAGGGGGCCAAAAAGGCCTTTAGGCGGTGGTTTTTAAGCTGCATCACCAATATGGTTGTTGGAGGAGATGGGGTGGTTGGAGGTGATCAAGTCATAATCCTAGAGCTTCCATGGTGGCAACAGCATCAATCCGGCCTTTAGCGTCACATGGTTTGCCATGTAAGAGACCATCTATGAACCAAAGAGCAGGCTCTCCCAGACACTGAATTGGCCTTCGGGCCTGCAGATTGTGAGAAATGAGCTTGTAAGTCTGACTTTTATTATAGCAGCTTGAGCACATTGAAGACAGGCTTAGAGTTGAAATGGTGATAAAGAACCTGAGGTTACAGTGGCCGGCTAGGGCTTAGGAAGGTCTGGGGAAGAACTGAGCATGATGGCCTTGAAATAGAAACCTCTATGCTTATGATTACGAGAATTAGCTGGGTGTGGGCCTTCAGGATATAAACCAAGATAGAGAAGTTGGATTTGCACACGCCTTTAAACCCAGCTCCCTAGAGGCAGGCACAGGCAAATCTCAGAGTTTGAAGCCAGCCTGGTGTGCATAATGAGTTCCTGGTCAACTATGGCTGCATATTAAGACCCTATTCCAAAAAGGAAAAAAAAAAAGATTTTAGATTTGATTCTAAATGCTGTGGAAGCCATTTAAGGATTCTGAATAGAGAGGTGGCATCTGATTTATATTTTTAAGTGATTGCATGGCTGCTCTGTACAGAATGGCCTGTACTGGGTGAAGGACTACATCTGGCCAGAAGCCATGGCACTTGTGGTCCAGTCTAGGCTGGCAGCCATAGAAACCGTGAGGCTCTGCAGGCAGAAGAATAGAGGCAAGATGTGGGCAGTGTAGCAAGAGGGAAAGGGGCGTTTCTGTGCTGACTTCCAACCCCAAAGGTGCTGAGGAATCCTTTTCCGAACAAAAGCAGGAAGGATAAATACGAGATCCCTTCTGCTGATCGGGGGCTAAAGCATGGGGTGTGAGGGGCCTCTTTACTGTGGCAGGAGGGTAGCTGCTGAGTACATCCATGTTCGGGGAGGGTGGAAGATAATGGAGACAGTCTTAACGGTTCCTGCATTTCTGCATGCCCCATGAAGCAG